CCCCCGCTGTAACCGCTAGGTGCGCGAGGCCAGCGACCTCGCAGGCGCGGCGCTCTCACCGGCTGTGACCCTGCCAAGCTGCGCGATCCACCCAGACCTTCGCTCCCCGCAGCGCCCGAGGGGTGACCGTCTGTGGGAATCGCGTTGATCAGTTATCGTTGATGAATTGACTCAAACGATCGTGCACCTTATGACTGACGTCAGCAATGTATTGCTATCATTTTTCTTGTAATTGAATTTTCGTTTTTTGAGTTTCTTCCAAGAAAGCCTGACTCAAGTCACTTCCTGATTCTCCTTCACTTTCCTAAAATCTTGGGGGAAGGGGCTAGAAAAGGGGCTGGAGGAGCTGCGGCGTATCCTAGGATAAGAAGAACCCATCCAGCCTCAGACCAGGACGCTCGTCCCTCTCACCTGCCCGGCTGAGCCGGCCACATCTGGAAGGCGCAGGCCGGAGGCAGCCGCACGCTCCCTGTCTCGGAAACACTTGACCTCTTTCATAAGCTCACGCCTGTTTAAAACTGCAGCACCCGAAGAGAAATGTCAGCTGGAGGAACGCGGAGTCTGCTTTGTTCTGGATGGATCCAAGTGCCCCGTGACATCGTACACAGTAAATGGGTGCAGCGGAGGCTCGAAGGGATTTGTCAAAAGCATGTGGCCGGGTTGTTTCTCTCTCACCTTGCCACGTGTCTGTCCACCCCAGGCATTCCAAGCAGGCGGGTCATCGGATCCATTCCCAGCCAGGAAACAGAAGCTAGGGAAAGGGTTAGTTTGTTCTCTTTCTTCACCAGCACCCCCAGGGCAGGAGGGACACACTCCTTCCAGTGTTCTGTCCCGGCAGCCTGGCCCTGGCAGGGCAAAAGTTCCTGCACCCTGTCACCTGTTCCCAGCCAAGGCCTTTTATTTCCAGGGGAGAGGGGTGCACATTGCTCGCTGAGTTAGGAGGAAGTTATCCAAGGCTCTCCAAGTCTGCTGCCTCCTGAGGCCACAGCAATTGCTCTGGGTTTGCAGGTGCTTTTGTCTTGTGGCTTCCCCTTGCAGACTGATTCCCTCTCCTCTGACCCTTGCTCACTCCTACCCACCCAGCACCCCAGCTGTGGCCTGAACCCCAACTCCACACACAGTGTCACTCTGCAGCCCTCAGCTGAGGCTGCAGAGCAGGCTGTGTCCCCCACCATGGCTCTGGATGGGAATACTTCAGCCAGTATGGGGTGGACAGGTCAGCTCTGGAGGCCACAGGCTCTGCTTGGAAAATTCTCTACCATTCCTCTCCTACCTAGGGCCTGAGTTCTCTTCTTCCTGACCTTCTGTTGCCTCATCTCTCAACTTCCTATAGGTTCCCAAACTCCTTTCTTACTCTCTGCCTCTCCTTGGTCAGTTCCCAGTAGACTGTGCTTTCCTCTCCAGTCCTTGCTCCCAGCCTCACATTTTTGTATTGTTTTTGTTTGTTTTTGAGACAGGGTCTCACCATGTAATCCAGACTGACTGTGAACTCACTATGTAGCACAGGCTGGCCTCGAATTCTCAGCAGTCCTCCTGCCTCAGCCTCTGAGTGCTGGGACTATAGGTGTGCGCCACCACACCTGACAGCTTCACATTTGGTTAGACAAATGCTTTTCTAGGGAGACCAAGGGGCACAGGTTATGCCCATTCTCCACAAGGCCACCAGTGGGCTTTTATAAATATAAACTGTCCTGTAATCAGTGGACGTGAAAACAACTTGAGCCTCAAGGTGGGAAGGGGGAAAGTCTATATACAGGGGTAAGGAGGTGGGATGTGTATTTTCTTTTTCTTTTTGGTACCAGGGATCGAACTCAGGTCCTTGTGCTTGCAAGGCAGGTGCTGGAACCACTGAGCTAAATCCCTGGCCCTGGGATGTGTATTTTCTTACATGGCTGAGAAATCCATTCCTGCTGGGCTGGGAAGTAGCTGAGTGCTGGAGTGCTTGCCTAGCATGCAAGAGGCTCTGGGTTCCCTCCCCAGCACCATAAAAAGAAAACCCAAACAAAAACCCATTCCAATAGCTTATGCATATTGCTTGTTGTTGGGCTTATTTGCCATGGCTGATAATCGTTGCAGAGTGCTGTGATTTGAAAAGGAACCAGCTTTGAGCATGGAGTTGAGCTTCACCTTGACAGCGGACAATAATTAAACTTACCCTCGAGAAGCTTGGGCTCAGTCCCTAGCACGAGGTGGCGGGAGTCGTCCTCTCCAGGGAAATTGGCAGAGTAGGTCCAGTTGTTCTGCTCCAGGCTCTGACCACAAAAGGATCCACCTCTAGCTTTGTTTCTTCCTCCTCTTAACTAGGTGAAGGGATTATCCTCTTGGTAAAATAAACACTGCAAATCCATTCAAAAGGTGGCTGAAATGCCTTTACCTGTTGTACAGTGCTCCTGGATGGAGAGTAGGATTGATTATGTAGGGAAAATCCACTGGGGTGAACCCATCGTAGGTTGACGACATCTGAAATTGAAAATGCATTTCATACCCCTAAACCTGCACAACACCGTAATTTAGCACAGAGGTACTATAATGCCGTAAGGTAAGGGTGGTTTCCCCTTGTGATTCAGCGGCTGACTGGGAGCTATGGCTTTCAGCATACCACTACCTTGGGAAAGGATCAACATTTAAAGTGTACTTTCTTTCTTTTTTGGGTCTCACTAGTCTAGGATGGCCTTGATCTGACTACAAAGCTGAGGCTGGCCTTCAATTCATGGCGATCCTGCTGCGTGCGTCAGCCTCTCAAGTCCTGGGATCACAGGCATGTACCACCACACCCAGCCTAAAGCATAGTTTCTATTGAATCCATGTTGCTTTGGCATCGTTGCAAAGTCAAAAACTAGTAATTTTAACCATCTTAAATCAGGTACCATCTATTTCTTTATAGGAATATTTCTATTTATGTTCATTTTTCCTCTGAAAATCACATCTGAGGGAGGTATATAGATGGGGGACACACCTGTAATCCCAGCACTCAGGAGGCTGAGGCAGGAGGATTGCCAAGAATTCAAGACCAGCCGGGGATACATAGTGAGTTCAAGGCCAGCCTGAACTGCATAGTGGGACCCTGTCTCAAAACAAAAACGAAACACAATCTCCAACCCAGATTGATGTACCCTATAAAACTATCTTTCAAAATTGGTAGATAAATAAGATATTTCCAAGGAACACCTGAGGAAATTCATGAACACCAAACCAGCACTCCAAAGTGTTCTAAAGGATATTCTAGAAAGAGATAGCAAGGATTACAACTCCATAAACTGACAGAATGAATACACCAGACAAGACAAGAAATTAAACAGAAGAGGAAACAAGGGAGTCAACAACAGGAATATAACATGATAGAAGTAAGTCAATACTTAACAGTTATAACCATCAATGTTAGTGGTCTCAATTCACCAATCTAAAAAAACAGATGGAAAAATGGATCAAGAAGCAAGATCCAACAGTATGCTGCATACAAGAAACACATTTAATGTAAAAAGAAATTCAGGGCTGGGGATCTAGCTCAGTGGTTCCACTGCCTGCCTTGCAAGCACAAGGTCCTGAGTTCAATCCCCAGTTAAAAAACAAATCATAAACTAAAATTCAAAGGGTAGAAAACAATATTCCATGGGGAGGAACTCAGAAAAAAGCAGGGGTAGCTACTCTATTCACAGACAAAGTAGATTTCAAGCCAAGACTAATCAGTCTTTGTCTCTAAAAGAGACAAAGAAGGTCACTACATCCTTGTAAAAGGAGAAATCTAAGAGGAAGATATAACAATCATAAATATATGTGCACCCAATACTAGTGCCCTCAACTGTATAAAGCAAATATATATATCTATGGGGGGGGGTTGAGACAGGCTCTCACTACGTAGTTGAGACTGACCTGGAATGTACTATGTAGCCCAGGCTGGTCTTAAACTCACAGCGATCCTCCTGCCTCAGCCTCCTATGTGCTAGGATTACAGGCATGCACCCCCACACCCAGTGTGTAAAAAACAAATATTAATGGACATGAAAAATCAAATAAGTACTAATACAGTTGTAGTGGGGGAACCTCAGTACCCCACTGTCACAAATAAATCAATTAGACAGAAAGTCAATAATGAAACATTAGAACTGAAGCAAACTTTTGAACAAATGGACTTAGTAGATGTCTACAGAGTGTTCCACCCCAGAACATCAGAACATACATTCTTCTCATACATAGACGTTCTTCAAAATAGACCACATACTAGCTCGAAGAACATGCTTAAGTAAATGCGAAGGAATTGATAGTGTTCTAGGAATATTATCAGATCATAATGCAATTAAATTGGAAATCAATGGCAAAAGAAATCACAAAGAAATAAACACATGGAAATTAAATGAAACCTTCCTGAAGAACCAGTGGGTCCTAGATGAAATTAAAGGAGAAATCAGTTTCTACAATTCAACAATAATGCTAATGTAACCTACTGGAACTTATGGGCCTCAGTGAAAGCAGTCCCACGAGGGAAATTTATAGCGGTGAGTACCCATATCAGAAAAACAGAATGGGCTTAAATAAACAACCTAATATTAAACCTCAAACTTCTAGAAAAAGAAGAGCAAGTCAAGCCGAAAGCTCATATGAGGAAGGAAATTACCAAAATCAGACTAGAAATTAATGCAATGGAAACTAAGAAAATAATACAAAGAATCAGTGAATGGAAGAGTTGGTTCTTTGAAAGATTAAATAAAATTAACAAACCTTAGCCCACCTTGTTAAAAAAAAAAAAAAAGGAAAGAGAGGAC